TGTTCCTTCCAGCATATTCAATTGATAAGAAACATATTTTAACTAATAATATTTTTAATATCAAAATCACATGAAAAATAAATGAAAAACAAACTGTCAATTCAATTACCGAAAAAGTTCATGATAGTATATTTGACGTAGCTAAAAATAATAGATACGAAGGGATGACTTGGCTTTTGTGGGATGTTATTTTTCTGATAATTCAAGTAGAAGGATGAAAATTGTTCATTTTTAAATATTTGAATGATATTTTCTGCTAACAATGATACTTTTAAGAATATACTTTAAATTCGAGATATTGTTAAAAGATGATTTTGATCAAAAACGTAAATAAAGTAGAGAAGTGGAAATATTAGGAATCTCCAATGTGATGACCAGGTACAATGTAACTCTGAAAATTCAATATAGCCAATAGGTAGGCATGATACATGCGTCAGTTGAGATTGAGGTCAACCTAATCAAACTATTTATGACCCAAAAATAAAGAAGCATTATTTTACTCGTGCTTCCCCAAATCAACAATGGCATCTGATGGGTTTAGGCCGTTGGACGAGAAGTCACTAGTCGAGTACATCAAATCGACTCCTTCTTTGCTTTCAATCTTGGGGAAACAGTTCGATAATCTTGAAATTAAGGAAGTTGGTGATGGAAATCTCAACTTTGTTTATATTGTTGTTGCCCCTTCTGGTTCAATTGTCATCAAACAGGTGCCCTTCCCTTCATCTTTCTTTTATTCTGCTAGTGGAATTATTCTTTTATGTTTTAGTATACTCGCAGTCAATACTGGGCTATGGAGTTTTCAAGTTATTCGACTTTTTCCCCCAAATTAACTTAGGGATTCCCCTATTGAATGGAAACTAAACTTTTTAATGGGGATTGTGTATGCAGGCTCTTCCTTATATTCGATGCATAGGAGAGTCATGGCCAATGGCAAAAGAACGTGCTTACTTTGAAGCCACTGCACTAAAAGAGCATGGTCGTCTCTCTCCTGAGCATGTACCCGAAGTTTACCATTTTGACAGGACTATGTGTTTGATTGGTATGCGTTACCTTGAACCTCCTCATATTATATTGAGGAAGGGATTGGTTGCTGGGGTTGAATATCCATTGCTTGCACAACACATTTCAGACTATATGGCAAAGACTCTTTTTTTCACCTCCTTGCTTTATCTTAACACAACGGATCACAAACGTGCAGGTGAGCCGTATGAATCTCATATAGTTGGCTTTCCGCACCTCTGTTTATGCACTAGGCTTTATGAAGTTGTTCACAAAAGTTTCAGGTTATTAGATGGATAAATGTCAGTTGTGTGAATTTACATGATTGGTTGTTCTATAATCATACTTCTTACAATGGTTGAGCTATATTAGCGAAGGTAAGCGACATTACTGAAAGTTATCTATACTTCTGGTAAAATTGGTAGATATTGTTTGTGAAGCATGTTGCTCAGACTCTTCACTTTATTGATGCCGCACCAGTATCACATTCTTCAAAAATAAGCTACTTTTTGAGAAGCCGAAATGCAACTGTCATTTTTGAAGAGTCCGAGTAACATAGCTTATCAGAAATCAGAGTTTGACCAGGAGAGCTTTTACACTTTAATCAACAAAGTTCATCTGGTGAATAACAGTTTATCTATTTTTCATTTAATCGTGTTGTGATGAGCTCTTGTCAGCCAGATTTTTGTCACTATCATTTATAGCCATGATAATTAATAGACATTGCCAATACAAAATCTGGATCTTTTGGGTCATCAATACATCTTAACTTGCTCATCTCATCCTCCATGTTAAGGAAAGCGAAACATTGGTGTGGCCTTGCTGCACTTGTCATCAATAATAACTTGCATTTGTGGTGCATTCCGACTGATACTTTGTCATTGTTGCTGTCCCTGTCTTTTGGTGAGGCAGTACTTCTATCGAGAACGAATATTTGTTTATATTTTGTTTTTGATGGCGATGATGTCCCGGCCTGCTTAGATGCATCTCAACTATTGGTCTGGGTACCTGCTAAGTTGGTCTAGCTATCCTGCAGAATTGGTTTGAGTCCTTGCAAATGTTTACAGTTCTACAAGTTCAAGTGTATGCTCTTTTGAACAGTTACAGTTCCTGAGCTTCAGTGCTTTGTAATGACGGACAACGAAAAGGAGAACAAAACAGAAACTGCGAATTTTTGGCCAAAATATTTGAGATTCCGATTCAATGACTTGGGGAGTAAAATTACAATTATCTATACAAGTTCACCTAACCACCCAATTGTCACTAACATCCATACTAATGTATGGAATTCAGTTAGTAAGTGCCAGGTCCAAAGTGTTGTTCCTAAAACTTTTCCCTCTCATTTATTTTAAAACAGCCACATGCCCTTTTCATTCTAAATGCAGTACAACACCTCAAGCCTCACCTACACTCACTCATAGCATTTACACATTCAGCCTTATAAGGGTGTATATATATGATGAGTGGCTTCTGTTAGCACACTCCAGAGCCAATTCATTATTATGGATTAGGACTATTTAATTTTGGTTTTTGATGGCCACTGGCGAGCTATATCATGGCCATGACTGTTATTTCTATTTGATTTTGACTTTTATTCGTTCTCGCAGTTGCTGAGTTTTGTGGAAACGTCGAGTTATGTAGGCTCACTGAGCAAGTTGTCTTCTCGGACCCCTACAAAGTGTCAGAATACAATCGCTGTACATCTCCTTATCTTGATGCCGATGCAGAGGCAGTTCGCAATGATAATGGTTTGAAGATTGAAGTTGCTGAGCTTAAATCCAAGTACATTTGTGATTCTTTGAAGATTTGCTTTAGTGCATCTAACTGATTTGCTTGACTTTTTCTGTTTTTTTTTCTTTAGCTGGAAAATCACAACAATCTTTATTTAATACTTAACAGGTTTTGTGAGAGAGCCCAAGCTCTTATACATGGTGATCTTCATACTGGTTCTTTGATGGTCACTCAAGATTCAACCCAAGTAATTGACCCAGAATTTTCTTTCTATGGGCCAATGGGTTTTGATATTGGAGCATATATTGGAAATCTGATTCTGGCGTACTTTTCCCAAGATGGACATGCAGATCAGGCCAATGACCGCAAGGTATATCTGTTGCAACTTTGCCTTTCTAATCTCTGTTTTTACTAGTGCAATCTCCTTGAATCATAGAAAAGGTCTTTGTATGCCAGAAACCAGTTCTTTTTTTTTTTAAAAATGATACATGTCCTAATATCATCATGAGAAATTGAGGCTTGTCTTTCAACGATATGTAATATTTTCAAGTGTGGTTTCTTGACTTCTATTTCTTTAAACATGTTTAACTTCTTGTGAGATTAAATTTTTTTATATAACCTTCAAATTCTGATGAATTCTGCAATGATTGAGTATGAAAAGAAACTATCTGCATTGTGAACAAAAGTTAGCAGGTCACACCCTAGTCTCCCTACAGAAAAGGTCTTAAATTAGAGGGATGGACAAAAAATAAGAAATTAGACCACCTTTATTGTCCTTTCACGTCTGTTGTCCATTGCTTCTTGCTTAAAGTTTAGTGATGCGTTCCTCATCTTATTGGTTTTTGTATTAGATTTTTTATCCGGTGAGGACATGATGTGATTATGGATTGGAGATTTGACGTTTGTTTCTTTCTTTAATATTTGAGACGTCAAGAATACACTGACATATAAAGTTTTTGGCACTTGTGATTTTATTTGTTGTCAGTCATATAAAGTTTGGATTTTGAAGACAATAACGGAGACTTGGAACCTCTTTCACCAAAAGTTTCTTGCACTCTGGGATGAGCACAAGGATGGTCCTGGTGAGGCATATCTTCCTGAAATATACAATAATACCGAGCTTCGACAACTGGTAAAGCAGAAATACATGAAAGAACTCTTCGAGGACACCCTTGGATTTGGTGCTGCTAAAATGATAAGGTGATTGGTGAATTCTCGTTTTCTAAAATTGCTTCTATGCATTTTCTCTCTGTGCCTTATTTAGAATTAAAAATAATAATTAAATTTAACAACCCTTTGCACAGGGAAGAAAGCAAGTAGCTTGATTCCCACGACAATTTTGATAACTCAGACAGCACAAAGGTGCCCAATGAACTATTATATACGTATCACGTGTGTGGGCATATGTACACAGATGTATGTATGTGTTTATTTATGAAGGTGGACAAGAAAATGCTTTCTAATACCAAATGATTTCTTTTAGGAATAACACACATTCATGTCAAGCAATACGTCTTGTTCCGCAATTCAAGACCAATGTTCTTCTTAATCCCAAGAAAGTTCTGAAGTCTTGGTGCATGTGATTGAATTTCTTATTTTCTTAATAATACACAGGAGAATAGTTGGGGTGGCTCATGTAGAAGATTTTGAATCAATCAAGGATGTTGCCAAACGAGCTGATTGTGAACGACAAGCACTCAGCTGTGCAAAGAAGCTTCTGAAAGAAAGGCGAACAATCAAGAGTATTGAGGAAGTTATTTCCACCATTGAGCAAGTTCAGTTGCAGTAATGTCCAAGTTAAAATGGATGATCATGTAACATGTTGGCCTTATGACCAAGCGTTGATATGTTTGCTTTTTGACTAAGCATTCTGGAGTCTATTTAGATATATTGAATGCCTATTGATAACAAATAATATCCTTTTAGGTATACATTATGCTTAAAATGGTGAGTTTTCTTTGCTCAGTAGTCATTTTATTGGTGGAGGAACATTATCATTTCCAGTTTATTTTCAGCACCAACTAAATATATTTTCGCACTCTGTTCTATTCAGTCTATCTTGGTAACTCACTCCAGCTAGAATGACTTTGCTTTTATAATGACATGCTTCTACTTATTTGCTATGGATATCTGAAGGCATGGAAATATCCTTTGGACTTTTGAAGCATGGGAAAGTAAGTACCAGGCAATATTATTTTATGGACATTTAAATTAACATATAAATGACGAAACGATAGTTGGATAAATAAACATACGAGTGAGACAACTTGTAATTAATCCCTTGTGCTTATTCTTATTATATTTTTTTTTTACTATTATTGTTGAACAAGACAATGACACATATAGCCTTGAATTTGTACAAAGGCATTAGAGTAATATTTTTTATTTTTGCTCTTGTTAGACAAGTTCATTCATTGTTGGGAATTTAGCTTTGTAATCCCTCCATAGTTGATCAACCGTTTTTCCCATCAAGTCAACAAAGTACTGATTACTATATCCAGTTCTCATCTTCTTGTTCAGCTGTGCTACGAACCCACTTTTCAAGCTGTTGCAGTAATCAAGAAATCGAGCAGTCACGTCGTATCCTTGGTCCCATCGATCACCCTGCCCTGGTTTCACCCAGTGGCTAGGTGCATAACCAGCTTTAAGCCTCACATAATCAGCAATCCCTTCAATTAATCCACCTGGAGCCCGTCCATTCCCGTTCCACTGCCAAATGTGAGTATTCTCATGGTATAATACTCCAGTAATCTCTCTCTTAACGTTACCAGAGTAACTCTGAATATACCTAAAAGACATGAATTTACATGACACAGTTGAAATTTCTGTCATATGCATTGGTACTAAACAATTTTTACGCGTATATACCTGGCGCTAACATGAATTTCGTTGCCCACAGCGTAAGCTACTCCACCCATGTCATCTACATACATACTAATTTTCTGCACGTTTTTGCGGTCAGCAGGAGAGTTCTGCTGCAAAATGTTCCATATGAAGGAAGTGGCAGCTGCCAATGTCTGTTTGCTATATTGTGCACCAATCTCTCTGTTAAAACGGGCACCACCAGGGGTGTTTGCGGCCCTGTTGGTCACCGTGTAATCGACAGCATTGATTTTTTGGGTAAATATTGCAAGGATAATTATCAAAGAAGCAAGAAAAGAAGTCATTTTAGCCATATTTTTGCTCAAAGTTGGCAAAAACAATCACTTATATATAAGTTTTTCTATAAACATAAAATATTTATACTGGGACTAAGTCAATAGAGTATTCACAATTTTTTTTTTCTTTAAAAAGAAACACATAGTCAGTTGAGTGTGATAGGAGGTTTCTCATTCCATAATCCCTTTTATATATTACAGTTTCTTTCCTGTTTTAGCAACTTGTTTTATTTTATTTATCGATCAGATATTATAAGTTCTCTACTATGAAAAAGAAGAAAAATGGGGAAAATATAATTTATAAATTTTAATTAATTTTTCTTCGTCGGATCCTGTACGAATATGTTTTTGAGTTTTGGGTATACTCAATCAAGAAATTATATAATAACATGAATAATCATACGGATTATTACTAAATTATTTAATATCTTTCTTCAAGAATAGTACTACAAATCATTTATTGGAAAAAATAATTAAAAAGAACCAATTAATATCTTTTTTATTTTCCAAAATTAACATTTGTTTTAGATCATTTTTTGCTTGGCTAAAGGTGTAAAATATGAAAATATATAAAAGGCCTTGCTTCAGGTGCTGGTGAACATACGTACAGAATTTGACCATAGAACCAATGGAATTTGTCTCTCTCATTTTTTTATTTTTTATTTTTTAAAAAAACATCAAATTAAAAGTTGTCGTTAAAAGCCGTCGAGTAAGAGAAATGAAAATTTCAAACTGCTTTTTAAAAAATATACTCATTATACAGTTTGCTTGATCCTTCAGTTATTCAATTGTGTATTATATTGTATGGCTTCTCAAATCAATCTCATTTTTCCTTGGCGTTTGGAGTAATCAAGTCATTAACGCATTCAAAATACAAATTAGTAATCCTTTTGTTTATCTTTAGTTGTTAATGTTTGATTTGATACACTTGTTAAAAAGTAAAAATAAAATAATAAATTTACTATATAAACTTTATTGATTAGATAAATCATCTAAGTATTGAATATTATTTAATAAAAAGAATAAAAGGTATAAAATACTAAATTATTTCTTGATCTTTCAAACTGAACAAGTAAAAGTGAATATCTATTTTTACTATGATAGACAAGTAAAAATAGGTCAAAAAGAAGTTACTAAAGGAATATTTAAACAAGATTAAGAAAGCACAGTCCTGATCGATTGACATTAGGTCTAAATCCTAGATAAAATTGATAACATTTTTTTAACCCGAAATTATTTGAATATTTTAATAGATAGTCATCTTTATGCAGGCCCAAAAAAAAAATGTATCCACTAATTATAGCAATTTATGATTGACATGTACAATAGTAATTGTGAATAGAACTCCTAGAATATACGTCAATCAAATTTGAGAAGCAAGATAAATCAATTTATATTTCAGAAAAGTAATTAATCGATAGGGAATATAGACCATAGACAAACAATCTTAATATGTATTATTAAGTTCGGATTTGATTTTTTCCCCCAAATATTCTATCTTTGATATCAGAATCTTTATCTGCTCTGATACCAAATTAAAATGTGATTCTATCTCACAAAAAAATTAATAATGATAAGGAAATGTCATGCTTTATATCTTCATGTAATCTGATTTTTTCTCATATGTATACTGAAGACAACACTAATATAACATAAATGTCTAGGTAATCCAAAACTGATCACCTTATTTTGTTCATTAAAATATATATACGATCATGTAATACATAAAAGGCTTAAGCAGTATTATTATACTTGGCCTTGTAATCAACAAAAAGCTGATCTGGTGTCTTGCCAAGCAATTCAACAAAAAAATTGTTACTATAACCACTCCTCATTTTCTTATTCAATTCTGCCACAAATCCATTTCTCAAACCATTACAATAATCCAGAAAACGTGCTGTGACTGAATAACCTTCGTCCCATCGCGTACCTTGACCGTTCTTCGCCCAGTTACTAACCACATAACCCGCCTTTAGTCTCACATAATCCGCAATCCCTTCTATTAATCCCCCTGCAAGCACTCACAAATTTGGATTACGAATCAGTGAATTCTGTTTTTTTTATAATAGCAATATAAAATATACATTACATATAGTCCAATCTAGACACAACGAACTCGTTGTGTCTAGTCTAGATCCGCCACTAACCTGGAGTGGAGGAATTACCAAACCACTGCCAAACATGAGTTGCCTCATGAAATAGGATTCCAGTGAGCTCTGTTTTAATGTTCCCGGAATAAGACTGAATGTAACTTGTGCCTAAATGAATTTCATTGCCGACTGTATAAGCAATGTATCCATTAGTAGTATTCTCAACAAAAGCATTGAGAGCTGTGTATTGTTTCTTATCAGCATCAGCTGTTTGTTGAAAAATTGCCCAAATGAAATTAGTGGAATTGGCCAGGGTCTGTTTGGTGTAATTTATGCCAACTTCGTTTGTGAATCGAATGCCTCCAGATGAATTTGGATCCCTATTTGTTACTGTGTACGTTACGGTAAGTGCTTGGTTTCCTTTTTGGAATGCTAGGAAAAAAAAGCAAGAAATTACAATGAATAAAAACTTAGCCATTTAATTATGTGTATATATCGATGTTTGTTGTTTTGGTGCTTGTGTAAATCGATCATTGGACTATGTATTTATAGTAGAGAACTACGTCCTAAATAAAGATCCGTTAAGTTGATGGTTGGACAAAATAATCACAAAATCATACGATCAATTAATGTTAACAAGAAAATTAGTATATTACACATGACAACTATACCTTTTTTTCTCACCCATATATGATATCTATATTGAAGTCTGACTAAATTTGAAGTCTCACATTAGGATAAAGCGCTCCTTAACTTACCAAGGAAACTCATACGTAAAACAAATGAAAGACTACTTATCACAACGGAACAAATCTAAAACTTTTTTTTTTCTTTGTGAGCCTAACATAATTAATTTGATTAGGAGAGGACGACAAGTGGGGCAATAAGGGGGGAAAGCGTGAAGATTTGATGGTCCAATGTACTAGTTGTGTATGGCCGGTTAAGTAAAAGTTTCTAATGCATTAAATCGATTCTACCAATTTTTCTTAATAATTAAATTATGTTTATAATGTTTAATATTTTAAACAGTTATTTTTTAAAAAAATAAGGAGAATAAACAAAATGAGATGTGTCGTAATTATCTGTTCCACAATTTAATGCTGGTCTATTCTTAGGTCATTGGTTTGGTCCCTCAAAAGTTACTTGACCTTATGTTTTGGTCCTTAATCTAACACAAAGTAGTAGGGCTAACTTTACAATTGGGTTAATTAATGGTCCAACTTCAAATCAGACAAAAATATAATTCAGAAATAGTCATAAGCTGAAATAAGTTTAGATAAAAATATCGTTAGTTAAATACGAAATTTTTTTTGTTGACAAGTGAAAATAGTTTAAACTCCAAACTCTAGCCACAAAAAGCTTTTTCCCATTAATCACACTTTTCTTGCATGGATAAACTACAAAACTTTAATGTTTTGTTAGGCCCAAGTCCAAGAAACAAATATCTGAGGCCCAAACCCCAAGACGTTTAAGTCCAATTTTAATCTGGATATAGAAGTCTAGTTCAATCATTGAAGGTAAGATCTCTTTTAGTTCGATTATATTTATTTTTTCTATTTTACTCTCGAGATTAATTGTTTACTGACGAAGTCATTTTTTTTAAGATTTAAGACTATATATCAATTAATATAAAGATTTATAGTAAAATATTTCATGTCGATCATTAGTTCTTTTTAAGAAATATGTAAAACCTGAATATTAAAAGTGAATGGAATCAAATGGCCATGAGTTTACCGCAATGATATTTTAAGCGACTTCGCCTTCTTTTATGCCCAACTAAGTTTTTTATGGATACTTAACACACACACATATATATAATATTTTTTTATAAGATGCTTTTATATACATCATATTACGACAGGTCTAGACTCTAGAGTGAGTAAGAAATGAGATAAGAAAAGTAATTCTTTAGATTATGCATGTGTTTTACATAAATTACAAAAAAGAATGAATGACATAAATACTAAAATTATGATATAAAAGAAGATTTAAAAAGAATGAAACAAAACTTGAAGCTTGCTAGCTAGCTAGTGACCTCTACCCCTATGACTTGGCCCAGAATATGCTTTCTGTTTAACTAAACTCTCTACCACTGAAATAATCAGAGAGTGTTCCTCCTTGAGGTTTCTTAACCCCTCCACTTTTATGCAATTTGAAAGCCACACAAAAAGGAGTATCATTGCAAAGGCATTTAGAAAAGACTTGAAAATACTCTTATTCATTTTACGATTTTTTGTGGTAGACCAAACACTTGCAAGAGAGCGATCGACCAGAAAATGCTAAAATTCTAATTCTTGTTGTTTGATTTGTGTGTTTCAGAAAGAAGGATATGTCAAATATATAAAGGTGACAAAAAGTAGCATGGAGGTTTGGTGTTTTGGTTACGCACAAGTGCAACAAAGGTATGTTTCTTTGACTTTTGATGTCCTTGTACTTTTGACTAATATTTAAGAAGAATTGAAATTCTATTTTTCAAAGATTGGAATAATTTTTGGTTTGAAAACGTTAAATCATACAGGTATATAAATGTGGCGCATGTTATGAAACAATTTCACAAAAGTCAAACAAAGATGTAATTATATTCCTCCATCAGCTCCAAAGGAAGGACGAAAACTCGATCCCTATTCGTACCATAGTCAAAACTGAAAATATTAGACTCTTTTGTGCAACACCGCCCATCTATATCTCTTTTTCATTTTCTTAAAAAAAGGAATATTTAAAAATTGTAACCATATAAAACAATGAACTACAAGTATTAATGGTGAAGCATATTAATAAAAAAGATTGTTATATGATATATAGTTTATACAACAACATTTAATGTGAGAACTAATTAGTTTAAAGGATTTTTAAAAAAATATCATCGATAGATATTCTATTGATCATGTACATAATAATAACACACAAATTTTCATATTATTCTTTTCAGATATTAGTCATGCAAAATTTAATAAAGTCAAACACTAAGTTATGTCACAATTTAATGCGAATTTTTTACATTAATAGATAGATTAGTTATTTTGCAACACATCGCCGTTCTTCCTACTTAATTCATTTTGCTTTTTCAAGTGAGTCTTTCACATAGCGATCAAACACATTGGTCGGAAATAACATGCCTCCCTTCCTCCAACCCACACACAAATTGGTGTTCTCACTAAAGAGACATGTAAACAAAGTTTCTTTCTTCTTGTACAAAGTCCATGTTGTAGTTTGATATGAAAATTTTGACCCACCTACCTTTCACCCAAGTTGCACAAGAGTTGAATATAAGTTGGACTAAAAATTAGACATACCGACTACACTGCAAATGTTCATTTTTTGGTATAGAGTTCATTATCCTTGTATCAACGCATAACTATCAAACTGTGTATATATATATCCATTTACTACCAGCAGATTACAAAGTTATTAATTACTGTTGTTCTTTTTTTTTCAGTTTGACAGCACGAATATTAATTCGTTAGTCTTCCCACATTCTCTGTCTAGAAATTTCTCTCCAGGAATTTTTAAACACATAATAGTTAATAAAGTGTGAAAATTACAACAGAATTTCTTCGACAGCATGCTAGGACACAATTCAAAAATCAATCAACAGGACTACCAAATCCATGGGACTAAGATATAAGCATCTAATAAGAAGGGACAATTATCCAGAATAAAGCATCTAATAAGAAGGGAAAATTATCCAGAATAACGAACATTTACCTTACATTAAATACTATAGCTGTAATTAAGAAAATTTAATTCACAACTACAATTCTTGCTATTCACCTAATTTATATAATTTAATTCCTGATTGTATAAATACATAATTTTATATATGTTTACTCTAGCTATTTGTATACAATTTATGAAAAACTCATAATAAAATATTATCATGTTTATATATTGACAAGCAAAATATACAAACGAAGTTTCAGAAAATTCCCAAATGTATAAATACAAAATTTGTATATAGTACATACCTATGTGTATATTCCCATGTGAACTATACAAACAGATAGAAATATACGAACCGCAACCTTCATAGCAAACGAAACTATAGCTATGGAGCGCGCAGATATGATTCATTTGAACCGAATAACTTCTTGACATATGTAATTAATTCAAAATTTTTGAAAAGCAATAGTACGGTTTCAGCTGTTGTTAAACATATGCTGCACGTTGTTTGAAAAATGCAATGGCGAAACGTGGAGAGTAATATGAGAGCAGGAGCAGGTATTCTTTAATTTTCATGGTCAAACCTGGTGATGGATTACCCTTGCATATATGCTTCAATTATGACCGTGACAGGCCACCCTTTTTCATGTAAGCAAATTTTCACCTGAGTCTGCTCAAAATATCTACCTGAAATTCAGAAAATTATCTACCTGACTCGGCACAAAACAAACAGTGTTCAGTACAAAAGATATATTCAGAAAAACGACATACCTTCTGAAAGTTTCTCGAACAGTAAAGAATGGATAATAATGTTTAGTGTTGTCTGGAGCAGTGATATGAGGTCAAAAAGTTGAGTACCTGCAAAGATGAATAACTTCAGTCGAAAAAAGAGTCAGTTTCTAACATCTTATGACATGCAAACACAATAAAAATGACTTATTATACCAAAGTATGGTATAGTCATATCAGATCATAAGATATTACCGTCCAAGAAGTCCAATGAACTCTAAAGTGTTTCTTCTAGCGCTTACTTTAGGTCAACATGAACTTAGCACCAATCATAAATCTGCCTCAACACTGCATCTTAGCAACCACAACCATGGAAACTGCTCCTCACTCCAATCAGCAGTTGGAGTGTAGTGAGGCCTGACCAATAAAGCCAAAGTACAGATAAAGACAGACTACTAGAATTCCTTTCTGTAATAATATAATAAAAGACAAGCACTATCATCACAAGCAAATAAAACTAGAAAAGAAGAGAGAGAAGTGGGAAGAGCATAGCATACATAAAGGCAGATAAATATATTCTCAAACAGAAGAACCAAGCAAGTCGAGAACATACAGGCACTGCTTTCCATCAACCAGTTTTCTCGACAGCATACCAAAATAGAAGTTTTTACAACTGATGTACCGTCGTCTCACGGTACTTTCAATGTTTTTTCCTTAAGTTTAGTGTGTGTCTAAGGCCTCTTTGATTTAATGTATTTTTCTCTGTGTTTGCAGGAAAACAGTCCAAAACGAAAACGCTGAAGACTGCTGAAATTTGCAGAAGTGATGACCTACGGAGCCATCGACGGTCCGTAGGTGGCGACCGTTGTTTAAAGATTTATGTTGCTACGGAAAGATCGGGATATTCTGACCAAGTGTGGGGCTACGGAAGGGATGACGGTCCGTCGTCTCCTGGCAAACCGTTGGTGTTAACAGAATGTAGCCCCAGTACCTGATTTTGAAAGGATTCTAAGTATGGAGCAACGAAGGCCATCGACGGACCGTCGTTTGGGTCTGTCGATGGTAACAGAATGATGGAGAAGATAGCAGCTGAAAAAGAGTTGAAGTATGGACCAACGGAGGAGTCGACAGTCCGTCGGTGAGG